ACTTAAAAATACACATTCCAAAATACTTTTATGTGTCCTCACTTTCTGTGCGAGAAAAAATATATTTCTGAAATGGATAGATTGCAAACCTCCAACAACAGCTGGGTGGCACATTATGGAATATCTGACTTACAGAAGTGTATGATAAAGGTTTTCTATGATATCTGGTCCCCATTCCTAAAATATATTGGTACTATACTGACAAGCATTGTAATGAAGGGTGTGGTAGATCATAGGAGTAACATCTTTGTGCCTTTTGGACACATGGGGGGGATCTTTCTGCTGCGTCTTTTGGGAGCGAGACAATAATGACGTTAAAGCAAATCAGATCACTTTGAAACAGAGGGCGGATAAATCTCTTTAGGAAAGAGTGCACTGCTAATGTTTGTAAAGGTATGGGGGGGAGGGGTGGGCTCACTAAGCACCTAATCCAGCACATTCTTGTCAGGGGTCCGACTCTGCATCATGGCGGGCTTCAATGCCATGCGCTGCGACAGGAGGGGAAGCAAAAGGCTGAGGTAATTGGATTGGAATACGGCATTGAGTGTCAGACAACAAAAGATATCCATCTCTCTCTCATGGCTGTTCAGCTCTTTTGTTCAAGGCTGGAATTTATTTGGTCATTCAGTCGGCTCTTCCGAAGCCGGGGCGAGGACAGAAGAACGGGGGGGGGGGGGGGGGGGCACCAGGACCCGGCTCAGTCTCAGCTCTTTAAATGGAGGTTGAAGACTCACCTGTTTACAGCTGCCTTTAATTAAACTCTAACTCTGCACTGTAACTTTGAACTCTTTTTATATTTTTTACTTAAATTAATTTCATTTGAATTATTTATATTTGAACATATTTTCAGATGCTATAGAAATAAACTCGCCTTGCCTTGGTGGTCTCTCGTATGCGGGTCTGTGCGGTCGCCGTGTGAGTATGTGTGAACCCCCAAAGCCCCGGGGTCATTTGTGTGATCATTACCATAATCACATTAAGGCTGCAGGAGATTAGCACCACGGCCTCAGAGGAGGAACGCTGCTGTCTGTGCTCCATGACGACTGCAGAGCATGCTCAGAGGGAACGGTGAGCACGCTGTGAAGATCCCCATTAGCTCCATGAGAGACGGGCGGGCGGGCGGTCAGGTGGAAGAAGAGCTGGAACACCTCAGGGGAGTCTTTTCTGCAAACTTTACTTCTTCCACAGACTCATGACATCACTCTTTCAAACTGTGTGTGAACATCTGAACATACTGAAAGTTTCACCTCAGAGTGTAGAAGATAAACTTCCATCCAGAAGGAGCCAACAAAGTGTACGGATCTATAAATCCACAGAGAGGACACATGGAGACACCTGACTTTCAGGCGTTAGCGATACAGATAAACGTTTTTCTCTATACAGATGTTTATCACGGACTCGGCTTGCTCTCACCTGATAAGATCTGAGTATGAGACAGATTCTGATGCAAAGAGAAAAGCGTGTGAACCGATTGGACAGAGATTCAGTTTCTTTGCAGCTCGATCTGTTGCAAAATGCAAGAATGCAAAGTTCAGGTGAAGCTCTGATTGGGTATAACAGAAGCTCTTTATGTAAACCTGAAGATTTAAAGTAGATATCAGGAAGGCAGACCGGCCCAGAACTCTTCCTGAGTTTCTTTTTGAAACATGGCACTCACAGAGGGAGACCTGTCGGACTTTGGGGGGGGGGGGGGGGGGTAAATAAAATACGAGTCACTCCTGATGCACCCTGATGCAGAAAACTTAAAGTCACACATTCTCCGACTCCAACCATCAACCATCTCCTCATCCCAGCGCCTCCTGTGTGTGTTCACATGTGCAGCTCACCAGGAAAAGTTTGGGACATTTTCCGCATTTTTGTAAAAACATTAAGACTGTGGACATACCCCAAAACATGATGGAGGAGGAAAAAGATGTCTGGTGGATTAAGTTTCTGGATGTTTGATTTCATGAGTGAGAATCCAGATTTGGTATTTTTCAGGTCTGTTTCTGTGTCAGATCTCGACACAGAAACAGAATCAGTCATCCTGCCAGTAAACAAATATAAAAGTGTAACCCTCCTGCACGCTCCTGTGTTTTTCTGCTTTATAGTTTTAATCAGGACTTTACTTTCATTCATTTTGAGGAGCACAAACTTCTGGTCATGTCTGATATTTTCTCCAGCTGCTCTTACGTATCCGTCCATGTTTGATGTAGATTTATTCACCTGGATTAAACATTGTTCTGTTGTGTTGTTTTTATTGACGCTCTGAAGCCCCTCCCCCTCCCCTGCAGCCTTGTCAAGCGTCCCAACACAGGCGTCACCTCTGGGCAGGTCATGAGGGCACGGCAGACAGGATCCCCCCCCCCTCCTCAAATCATCTACAATCTCTTAACTCAAATTTGGCTTCTACCATCAAGGCTACAAAAAAATATCTCCTGAGGGTTAAAAACGTCTCCAATTAACCCTGATTACCCCGAGAGAGTGTTTTCACTGAGGCCTGTAACCTGAGACGTCTGTC